TCCAAGCCCCGTCCCATCAATTTGGGGACGATCCAAGCCCCGTCCCAGCATCCCGGGACGATCCCCGGGGCGCAGCTGCCGTTCCCCCCTCCCAGCACGGGCAGGGCCGGGGCCAGAGCTGGCCCGGGGTGACAGGACGGGGACACAGGGGGGGCAGGGGGGCTCTGAGCTGTCCGTGTGTCTGTCCCTGATCAGTCCGTGTGTCCGTCCCCAGGAGCTGGAGGCCCGGAACGCCGATCTGGAGCAGAGGCTGAGCGCGGCCGAGCAGAGCCTGGCCGAGAGCCGAGCCCAGAGCGAGCGGAGCCAGAGCGAGCTGGGCCGGCTGGGCGAGATCCTGGACCTCAAAATCTTCGAGCTCAGCGAGCTCCGGCAGGGCCTGGCCAAGCTGGTGGAGAGCAACTGAGCCCGGGAGCCCCGGGAGCCACCAGGGACCCCCGGGACCCCCAGGGGCAGCCCCAGCTGGGACCGGGCACGGAGCAGCCCCCGGTGCCCAGGGAGACACAGGGCAGGAGGGCAGGGGGTCCTGGACCCCCAAATCACCTCCAGGGAGCTCCTGGGACCCCCAAACCTGAACCCCCAAACCCTCTGCAGGGAGATCCTAAACCCCAAAATCACCTCCAGGGAGCTCCTGGACCCCCAAATCTTCTCCTGAACCCTCTGCAGGGAGCCCCTCAAATCCTCCCCTGAGCTCCCAAATCTTTTCCAAGGAGCTCCTGAACCCCCAAATCCTCTGCAGGGAGCTCCTAAACCCCTCAGTTGTTCTCCAGGGAGCTCCCGCAGCCCCAGCCCGCCCGTGCCAGCTGTGCCAGCTGTGCCCCCTCCCTGTGGTTTTTACATTTTTAAGGGGAAGGGGCTGAGCAGCCTCGCTCGGGGGGGGGTGTGATAATTACAATAATAATAATTATAATAATAATTATTTTCTGTAGAGTTTTCTAGGATAAACCGTTTGCCTTTTGCAAACGAGCCAGGGCGGGGAGGGGAAAAAAAATTCCAGATTTCCCTGAAATCCTGGGGGGCTCCAGGGGCCAGGAAAACCCAGGATTAAAACCCGGATTAAAACCCGGATTAAAGCCGAGCTCAGTGGGACTGAATGGCTGCTGCAAGGTTTGGGGAGGGCTGTGAGGAACTGGAATTAAATGGAGCAAATCGCAGCCACCCTGGGCCTTGTGGGTTTCGTGTGTGGCTTTTGGGTTTTTGGTTTTTTTTTGTGGTTTTGTTTCTTGTGGGGGGTTGGGGGTTTTTTGGTTGGTTGGTTTTTCTCTTTTTTTTTTTTTTTTTTTTTTTTTCCTTTTATACCCGGGAAGCAGCTCCCAGGATTTCAGAGATCCCAAAATTCCCGAATTCCCAGAATTCCCGAATTCCCGGACTCCTCCTGGTCCCAGGGCTCTGAGCTCACCTGGGACACCTGGGCAGGTTCTTGGTGCCACCCCTGCCCTGGCCCCCAAATTAACCCTTGTTAGGTTAATTAATTAATTAACCCAAATTAACCCCTCGTTAGGTTATTAATTAACCCAAATTAACCCTTGTTAGGTCATTAACCCCCTGCCAGGCCCCTCATTAACCCCTGAGCTCTGGATTTTATTTATTTTTTTATTTTTATATTTCCCCTGAGCTCTGCAATAATTTTTGGGGATTTTTTTCCCTTTACCAGAATAATCTGGAAGTGGCTTTTGGGAAATAAAAAAAAAAGCTTTTACTCCATTTCTGTGCTGGATGGGTCTGGGAGGTTTTTCCTCTGCAGCTTTCCCTGCTCCACACCAATGAAATCCCATTTATCACCCCTGGAGCTGCTCCAATTCCGGATATTCCCAAAAAGATTTTGGAGCAGGGGCACCAAAACATCCCTGCTGTGTTCTGCAGCCTCACCCTGATTTATTTCTGATTTTTTCCTGAGTTTTTTCTGATTTTTTTCCTGATTTATTTCTGATTTTTGGGCTTCCAGAGAGGGGAAATTTTGTGTTCCTGGGGTGCCAAGGCTGCGTTTTTGTGTCTCCCTGCAGCTCCAACCCAAATTCTGCTTTTGGCAAATGAGAATCTTAATTTTCCACAGCAAAGGCAGACAGGGCGTGAATGAAGAGAAGAAATAATTCAGGAGAGGGGGGAGCAGAGGAAACATCTCAGAGCTTTGGGCTGAGCAGGAAAGGGGATCCCAAACTGCCCCAAAAAATTCCAGTTTTGGTGGGAAAGGGAAGGGGAAATGGCACGTGAAAATGCCATGAAAATCCCATTAAAATGCCCTTAAATTCCCATGAAAATTCCATTAAAATCCCATAAAAGTCCAGCCCAGCTTTGATTCCTCCTCCACAAAATCAGAATTTCCCTCCCTGAATCCTGAACTTTTATTTAAATCCCCGAGGTTCCTGCAGGAGAGAAAAAGCCACGCTGGGAAACCTCAGAAGGATTTTAAATAAAAAGGTAAAATTAATTCCCTCCTCCCAGTAAAAAAATAAAAATTTAAAAAAATTAAGTAAAATTAAAATTAAAAATAAATAAATAAAATCCCCCTGGTGCTGCTGTGTTTTTAGGCAGCCTCACATCAAATTTATTTAATTTTTATCAAAGATATCTGAATTTTTATCAGTTCTTGGTGCAGGCAAAGCAAAGAGACTGGGGGGATTTGTAATTAAAATAATGGCTGAATAAATGCAATTAAGGGCTGGCTTTAATGAAGAACTGGGGCCGTGACCCTGCAGCAGCAGCTGCTCCTCTCTCAGAGCTGGGTTATTTTTAGTGCAGAAATTCTGTTTACACTCCAGAGCAGCCCCAAACACACGCTGGCCGTGGTGGGGGATGGAAAAGAACCAAAAAAAAAACCCCAAAAAAACCCCAAAAAATAAATTAATAAAAACAAACAAACAAAAAAAAACCTAAAAAAAAAAACCAAAGAGAAAAAAAAAATCCTCCCCTGCCAGGTAAAAAAAAAAAAACTAAATGTGCAAAGATTATTCCAAAATGAGGATTATTCCCAAATAAATTGGGATTATTCCCAAAGATGAGACCCAAGCTCCCCTGTGCATCCCCTGGCCCTGGGGAAGCCCAGCAGGGCCGAGCTCAGCTCAGGATTTTTAGGCTCAGGCTCAGGGGAGAATCTTTGGGTACAAACCAAGTGTGAGTGGCAGTGCCAGCCCCTGGCAGGGACAGGAATTATTCCAGCAGGAATCCAGGCCTGGCCTCTGCTCCAGGAAGGAAAAATCCTCTTGGAGGGAATTCTGAATTCAGGAGAGTGACCCAGGGAGGAAAAAAACTTCCCTGGGAGGGTGGGGAGGGAATGGGCTGGAATTCCCAGAGCTCCTGGATCCCTGGAATGTCCCAGGCTGGAGAAGAGAAATGCCAGGAAATCCTTGGAGCTGTTTCCAGAGCCTGGAATGGATATTTGGGATGAGGGATGGAGGGACAGGACACAGGGAATGGATTTTGGGATGGGAAGGGGAATCTGGGTGGGATTTTGGGCAGGAATTCCTGGCTGGGCTGGAATTCCCAGAGCTGTCCCTGGAATGTCCCAGGCCAGTTTGGAGCAGCTCTGAGGTGCTCCCATCCCATCCCACCCCAGGATTTTGGGATCCTTCCCCTCTCCCTGATCCCAGCATTGTCCCCGTTCATCCCAACGTCCAATCCCAATTTCCCAATTCCGGGGATGTCACTGCTCCCCCTGCCCCCCCTCTTCCTCCTGCCCCTCCTGCTCCCCCTGCCCCCCCTGCCCCTCTTCCTCGTGCTCCATCCTCCTCCTCCTCCTCTCCATCCTCCGGAGCCGTTTCCTGCTCAGCCTCTCCCGGAGCCGCTCCCGGCACCGCCGGTTCCGCCCGCGGATCGCGGCCAACTCGGCCCGCGCGAGAGCAGGGTCCTGTGGGGACACGGG